AAAAATATTTAAGGGATGCGAGGAGCCCAGTGGTAGTGATGCCGACTATTACGAGCACGCTGCTGGACCGAACGCGCTCAGGACTTAACAGGCCTCTCATCCCACCGGAGTCACGAAATTAGCACCATAGTTGTGTGGAAACCAGAAGGGCATACGCACTGATGGAAAATTCCTGTCATCGTCGTTTTGCTCGACATTCTCGTCTATCCAAGAAGCACCACTGGAGCAGAGACGTTGGTCGATGAGTTCAACGAAGCGGAAAGAACGACTGGACTGCGCACAAATAGGGTAAAGAACCTGGTTTATAAACAGCCCATGGTGCGAAGGCAAACAGATGAAAATGCATGGCTCCTTACTCACAGAGACCATCTCATACGTGTGCTTCAGTCGTTCAACGCACATAGAGAACATGAAGGTAAAATTGTACAGAAAAAACAGAGCAGCATGAACCGTATTTGGGTCCCTCAAAGAAGCCACCGACGACGTAACGGGCCCAAAGTTCCGAGCTCGCCTTTTTGATTCAACAGTCCTTCCAGCGCGCCGTTATGAAGCAGAAGCGCGAGCTGACACCAACCACGTTAAGAAGTCTGCTCATCACCTACAGAGCGCTTGAACGATCTCTGAAATCTTTTCGACACTTAGATCCTCTAGCCGGAATGCGCAGGTCTGATATTCGAAACCCATTTTATCTTCGGTATCCATGAGAATCTACAGAATGCCGAAACACAAATGAGCCGGTTACTTAATACGAAGAGCAGATGACAGATGAACGAAGAACAGTGAAGCAAAATGCACGAGAATCCAAGCGTTCTCTTGGAAGACCACCGAAACGATGGGCAGCCATCTTCGCGGCTAACGTCAATCGTCTGCATTCGCAGATGGAAACGATTTTAGTAAATCAGAATGGGCATAGCAGGCGTCACCACGTTTGAAGCAGACCACCACCATGAACTTCGATTGCGCGATAGAGAAACAAATCTAAATTTTGCAAGAACCCAAACCACTAGTGACGATGGGCCAAGTATAACTTCTTGATAGCTTTCTTATATACAAAATCATATCCAATACGTAAGACCGCGCAACTGTCACGTCTATTTGACATCCAATTAATTGCAGCATTTGCTGCAAGTTGAGATTGATGCCAACCGAGCTCCACGACCGCCCTCCTCACTCATCCCTACAATTCGACTTCAGCTCTTTTCTAAAGTGCTCGATACTTGCATATAGTAAGCAATTTTGGTTTTTCCTCCGTTCCCTACATATACTCCAAATTCATCTGTGTTCTTTTCCATGTTTTCGAAAAACTTCAAAGCCCTGCATATTGTGAAATAAAGCTTGACAAAGGATAGAAGGGTAAAATATTCGCTGTTAATCAATCTCTGATCAATGCCCCGTACACTCAACTTTATCAAGAATCGGAGGGGTGGTAGACGCATACCCACTCTACAAAGTGACTTGTGGTGGCCCTTCACAAAAAATAAACTCTATGCAAGTAAGTCACAATGCAATCCCGAATCGCAGGTGTCCGTGGTCGAGATCGAACACGCTATTACCCTTAAGGGGCTAACGCGCTCACCACCACACCATGTACTTCGTTCGTTTCACGTTTCTCTGGTGGTGCAATCGTTAGCTCTCGGAAAGGGTAATAGCGTGTTTGATCCCCACCGCAGATACCTGTGGCCCGGAATTTTTCAAATATCCAGTATTACTGCAAATTGTTCCAAACATGACATGCAGACTTATGCCTGTTGCTTGCTTCATGCGTATACTAAACTCTTCTAAAGCGTTATTTTCACTAAATTTTACTTGAAGCTCCAATCTCTGGTAACCCTTAAAACGATTTCAAAACTTTAAAGTCTTCGAAGCAAGTCTGGAAACACAGTGATGAATGTTTAGCTCTTTTACAATTTCTTCTTCTTAATAATTCATTCATGATTACAACTACACTACCATTTACCATCTCATCATCTATTTCCTCCAAGCGCCGAATATCAGGGTTCAAACCAATCGGAGACGTCTCTGCTGTCTGCTAAACGGCAACGGTCTTTATGCTGGCTGTTCTTTTACTAGTAGAATTCGTTCGAAAAACTTTTTATAAATCACTAATTACAGAGAGCGACCAATTAAAAATATGTAAAAAGACCATTGCACGACAAATAAACGACCTCGAAAAAAAAGAGTTTGTATCAATGCACGTTGACACAGCTGGCCCGCGTAGAAGTGCAAATCCAATCGTGCTGCCGTACTCTAAGTTTTAACTAGTCGATAAAAAGAGGTAAATTCAAAATTTGTCATAAGAAGGCGAAATCACAATCGAAATGTAGTTGAAGAGTAAGTCATATAATAATCCAGTAGAGAGAAATGACGTGGTAGATAATTAGTATCCAGGCAAAGTGAATATCCTTCATAACGGTAATCACCAGTTCCGACAGGGAAAGTGCAAAATGTCCCAAAATTAGATCTAGTGACTAAAGCGAAACGATTCACTCTGTTTTATATCACAAGGCAACACAACATTGTACTGGTACTGCTCACGATAAGCTGCAGGAACCATTCCTAGGAATACTCCGCGTAGCTTCTGCTTACGAAGATGACCAGTACGCGTTTCCCGACCGTCTACGTCTTGATGGTTTTGGCAGGTATTTGTTCAGTCGCATTGAAGGACATCCGTCCAAGTTTTGAAGATCAGAGAGCGGATTTCGTTCACTTACTACCAGTGGAGTGGAAGCAATCGTATGACAGACTGCTTATCACAATTTCAACGCCTTTAGTTTGCTGTATTCTTTGTTTCTCAGTGTGTTCGCGCTTACTCAATTCACGCCTTTAATTTCTTCTGAATATATAACTGTAATACACAATAGGATATTCATCACACATCGCTATGATAACCTGAACTGCGGAGTCCGAAACGTCTCGCTTCTAGTCCAACTAAGAATAAATCTATGCCACAGCAGACCCAGGTGACCTACTTGTGGCTACTTTCTTGCTACATAGGTAAAATGTCTTCTCCAGTCCCTCCAGTTTTCTAAGATCACTAAGGTACACACATACATGTTCTTACACAGATACTCATGGGCACATGTACATATACTTGCACATGTGCGTATGCACACGTATAACATATATATATACACAAGGTGAAATATTTCAGTACATCCATGCATACATTTCGAAACCGACCTTCTTTTAACCTCGGTATGACAATCAATATGTATTCTTTTTTTGATAAGCTTACACGGGGTTGATACACAATCTTTATTCGGCTAACATTTCGACTTCTTTATCTTGTCAATGATGATGACGCTCTGATGAAGACGAAGATGTCGAAACGTTAGCCGAATAAAGATTGTACAACTCTTGTAAGCTCTCTCTTGCAAGCTTATCAAAGGAAGAATGCACGTACATAATTTTTTATATGACCCGTCTTAACCTCTACTGCGCGGAGACCGGCACTTCTCACATTCAATTCGTTTCCTCGCATCCATTATCCACGAAGATCTTCCAACTTTTATGTGTGGCTTCGGTTGCTGCTTGAGGATTTCCATTTCATCTTGAATGTCGCAGAATGCTGGTTGAGCAATTCTCCCTAGAGTCCTGAGCCCAGTTGCAGCGTTCCCAACTGGATTGAAGAGAGCGATTTTCTTCCCAGACAAGTGCGGTAACAATTTCCCGACCCCGTTGGGAGAGGCTTGGTTGGCACGAAGCGGAATCGAACTAGCATCATGCTTGTGATGACAGACATTACTACCACTGCTATCCGCCCCTACACGTACATATATAACATGCATGCAAGTGCATATTTATATACATTCGCATTTGCATACGTAGCTACAAATCACAACAAACATCCACAAGGATCTAGTCGTTAAAGGTATTTCTGAAACACTTCACCATTAACAGAACGTACAACTCAACAGCAACTATTTCGTCGACTGTTTCCTATTCTTACCACTTGAAGAGGTTCTTTTACAAAATCGTAAATGATTTGTTCAAGAGAATTTCCGAGAACCTTTAAGGGCTCAGAACTACAATAGTAACGCGCAAATGAGAGGTTCCTAGTCTTAACAAGGAACATAGTTTAAGAACCCTTTATATAACTCTTCACCTAGGTACAACAGGAATAATGAATATCTGGAAACATAGTAACGTGTAAAAACAAATAACGAGCAACAAGAAGGACTTCCAAGCCTTAACAAAATAGGAACACGTTGGCTACGCGCCAACAGGTCGAAACTCGCTGAACTCACGCCGATTCAAAAATGCCGCACGCGACGTCAACGATGCCAAATTAAAGGAGTGGAGTTGCTCGTGCAAGGACCCATCCAGCATTCGACTACGGTACGTTGTGTGCGTTGAAGGGTTGTAGACGGAGGCCCAAGTCTGAAAGTGTGCATTCCGTGGATTCCTGGTGAAAGCTGCGCTTTCTTCCAATTGTAAACAGGATTTGTGTAGTATTTGTTAGATATGGTTGGATTGAGTATGCTCACCAGGCAAAACACAGAGCTGTGACGAGGTTTATCCAATTCTCGTGTCTTTTTCTTTTGTATGTTCCTACGAACTGCCCTTTCGTAGCCGACTCGAGGTTGGTATAGATGTTCTTATTGTTGTTGTTGTCGTTCTTCAATGGCTTGCGTTTAGACGACTTCGCCTTCCTCAGAGCCTGGACGTATCATATGTAAAAGTATCCGCATAATTCACAGTATGGACTGCATAGTATTAGTGAAAATTAAGCATGTTAAAAGACGCCAATTTGCAAAGACCACCTACATTGCCGTTGGATTCCCCTTTTTTTCTTTTAGTTTTTCTTTCCTTTCTGCATTGTAAAGTGATGAATTTGTCGATGGAAGCTCGACACGGAGAAGATTTCCCCGTGTTGGGTTTTTTCAGTTATCGTTTCCTATAGTTTATTCCATCTTGTTCGTAAAAATGTCCGCTGTCTAGTATCTCCTGATTCTTGGATATTACTGATTACATTTCATTCTGTGAATATTGCAGGTATAATGGTTAAAGCAACCAGTATAAAGGACGTGGATCAGCATGAGGCTGTAAAGCAAATCGCTCATTTCCTTAAGAAAAGTGGCAAAGTAAAAATCCCCGAGTGGTCTGATATCGTTAAGCTTGGTGCTAATCGTCAGCTTGCTCCCGTTGATCCTGACTGGTACTATATTCGCACCGCCAGCATTGCTAGACGACTTTATATCCGATCGCCTGCTGGTAAGTGGATTCAAGACTGAACTAGCGACCAAGTGTGTCTGCCTTACTATGCATTAGCATCATGAATTTAGTGTTTTCCATGTAATGTTATAAGTTACTATTTCATTTTTGCGTTTCAAGGAGTTGGGGCCCTACGCACAGTCTTCGGTGGAAAGAAAGGACGTGGTTCGCGACCAAATCATTTTGCTAAGGGATCAGGATCTGTGGTTCGAAAGGCCCTACAGACTCTGGAAGCCATTAAATGGGTTGAGAAGCACCCCGATGGGAAAGGTCGTGTTCTTTCTAAGCAGGTAGTGTAATTTTTACAGTTCACCGTACCACACTTCTATCCCGTGAAAATGGCATGGTCCACCGATTTTTTTGGAACTATTCTCATTAGGGGATGGTCACAGCGTAGGACTAACCTGGAAGACAATCAGTATTTCTGCTTTGCGTACTCCATGCGCCATGTTTTGTCCTGACTCGGCTACATGTACAAGTATATATTTGTTTTCCACATACTTTTTGACACGTATATACATATATGTATATGTATATATGTATGTATATATGTATATATACGTATATATATGTATGTATGTATGTATATACGTATATGTATATGTATGTATGTATACGTGTGTATGTATATACGTGTGTATACGCATATATATATATACATGTATATGTGCATATAACAGTACCTGTTATGCTAGAGAATCGAAAAAATCCAAAGTTGAGCGAGCCATTTGTTCGAGCCTTTAGCTTTGGCTGTGAGAATGTTGAAGTAAAGGTCTATTTCTGCGTTAGTTTAACAATAGTTCACCAGTGCTGAAGCGTTGGAGAACTTCGTGAAGAGGAGCGAGAGGTGGCTCCTTCTGAACCCGTTGATTCACCCATATCCTAACTTTTCTGCTGTAATGTATTATTCATCCATTTTATTTATTCATAGAAGTGTGATAGAGGAGTGTTCCGCTATCTTATTATTATAGGGACGCAAGGATCTAGACCGTATTGCCAGCGAGCTTCGTCAGCACGTAAAGCCTGTTGAACTCTAAAGTGTCAAGTTATGTTGTTTTCTTAATAAATATTATGAAGTTGTAAAGCGTTGTCTTGGTGATTTGGTTCGTTCAAACGTTTACAAACATTGTCTTGTCAACTAATATAAGACTTTTTAGTAATCCATCAAATCATTTGTACCTCATATTATTATTGTCTAATTAAGACAACAATCTTTACAGTTTGATTTTGAACATGAGAAGAATCGCCACGGATTATGGTTTACTATGGACGAATGGGAAATGTGTTGTTGGTCAGAAATTTACACTTTTGCATAGTAGTCTAACAGCATGGTAAGCAGTGAAGTGAACACGCTTGGTTTATCGGGTTAGATTGTCCTTAGTGACGTTTACAGTTACTTGTCGCGTTAGCCGCTAGTTTATAGTAACATACCATCTGCTCTGCTAACCATACCCGATGGTCTGAAATGAAGAAAGAGAAACATCCATATTCTATGAGGGCGATGACGGTGAAAGACTCTTGGTACTGGAACACACACGACACCAAACGCCAGAACGAAGTCGTGGGGTGCAACCAGCATCGAGCATATTCATTTCTCATTAACTAAGACGGATGGATAGTACTTTACAGACGAAGCAAATGGTCCGTTCTGTATTTCCAAACTGCCATCGTGTACATATATTACTGGCATCAATTTCTTATTAGAATATTGTTCCAGGAAATCTTAGGTGATGCACCTTGTAATGTTCCTATTGCTACTTTCCAAGGCTTTCACTGTAGTCTCAAGATCGAAGGTAGTATCTTCATTCTGTTTGTATTTTCGCAAGCTCTCTGGTTACATACACTGTTAGAACGAGGTTTATATTGTGTAACTTATTGTTTTTTTGCTTATTATCATTACAAAAGAGTTGTCAAATTGATATGGAATTCGGTATTTCATCTTGAAGCACATCTACAAGCAAATCATTGCAATAAAGCAGCAAACAGACTTCCTATGCACGAAGATCAGAACCACAACACAGGGACGCTTTGAGGCATTCCTTTCAGGATTCCACCAGAAAAAATTTTCGGAACTATTATACTAGTTAAAATGAAAATTTGGTAGTGTCCACACTTGTTCCAGTACGTAGGAGCAGTATATCTTATGTTTAGCCTTAGCACCGTTTGCTTCACCTTAACGACAAACAGCAATGATGAGTAGATGACAGGATTCACAAAATAACACGGATTTCACAAGTAACAGGTACATTGGAGTACGATCAGTTCCATTCCTCGTATATGAGAACGCTATTCTTGGATACAAATAGTGAAAAAATAATGAGATTACAAGCTATTCGGTTCACGAACATATATTGCTGACGAGGATGGATAGCGCAGCAGCGAGACCAATGCTCGCTTGGAAGAACAGGTACACTGTGTATTTGTTATGTGTTTAAGATACTGTCTTTGCTTTATTTTAGTGAGAAGTGGTACTGACACATTTCAAAAAAACCGGAACAAGACGGGGGTATTTATTCCACGTGATGATCACGTATATATGAATGCTTAGGAATACTCGGTTGAAATGAGATGAAAGGATCTTAGGAATACAGTTTATAAGGACAGGAAGAAATGAAAGACAACACGTGAGAAAAGAAGATGAAAAAGAACGAATACGTAAGGAAGAGGTGTACGACCATCGAAGAGCTAAGGAGATATGGGGAACTAACGCATGTTTGATACTATCGGCGAAGGCCGTAAACACACGGATCGTAACAGATATGGATGAATTGGTCAAGGAAGAATAAGGATTGTCACACTTCATGGTTGTAAGAGTACGCGCCTGTAGCCATATGTAACAACGGTCACGAACACTGGATGTAGTATAAAGTCCTTCTCACTGCATATAGAGATTTTGCAATGAATATATCATGAATTAATAAAGTGACAACCTCATCATGATCTGTGAGTTATAAATAATAGTCTATACCTAAACCATGCGGAGTGGTGATGAAGAAGGTGAACCACATATGACAGGAAGACATGCGACAGTATTGAAAGAACCATACCGTTCGTACCAACATATCGAAGATATGAATAAATATCTAACAAATGTAACAGTGTGTATCCATGCATCAAATACCCGGTGAATACCCTTACAAAGATCCTACTATGTGACAGAACAATTCTTTACATATACAAAGACCCATCTGCTGGACGAATATATCCAGTCGCAATAAGCACTACATCGACTACTGTCCAGATACCGAGGCCTCCAAAGCTGAATAGCTTACCTATTGCTGATTTCCACAAACCCAGATAGAATCGGTCAGCACCGAAACCACCTGGAAGTAGGACGTATACAACGATGACGATGAATATTAAAGAATATTTGGGCTCTACTGTCTTTTTTTAAAAAGAAAGTGTTGTCACCTCGTAATAAGACATTTGTGCTGTGAATATTGACCAATTCGATAAGATTTAGCAACATCAAAACTACGTTCTCCATGAATGTGGTTGTGTCGGTTCAAAAAAAATAGAGTTTCTTCCCTTAGTTAATGAACTAGATGGAGAAAGAAGACGAGTTCATGTAAAATTGAAAAGTTTAGCTTTTTCCGACCAAGTAGATTCTATGACCTTCCAACGGTTTACCGCCTTATCGTGGCTGGGAGGTGTTCCTGGGTGTCAAGCTGCGACATACAGCGAACCGATTCATCCCCAAGGCAGGGTCTCCCAAGATGAGAACCAGTTCGGCGTTTCTGTCAGGAAACCCAGCTAAGAGTAGTATCGAACTAGTCGCATGATGGCAAATTTCGCTGTGATCCACAAAGGCTGCGGCTAACTGTAATGGTGACGAACTGGGGCAGACTTTGGCCAGGCTATTCTCGAGACTCCAGGTAACCACGATGGCTTAGCTAGAAAATCTCCAAAGAATGGAAATTATGCTGCAGCCCGTACAACCAGTGAAGATGAGCCATCCGAGGTTCTACGACTCATCGGGTCTCCAATATGTTAACTTGTAAGAAAAATTCAAGTACATAAACAATTACCCAATGTTATGGACAAGAACATAGTTTTGGCCCAGCTGATTCCAGAAGACCAGTTACATCTGGAACAATAAGAATAATAAAATATTCCCAAGAATGTAGTAGATAGTGGGAAGGTCGAAAGACTCTGTCAGACCCTTTGGATCTCTCTTATTGTGTTATTGAAATAACAAACTAGCTGACGGTTTTAAAGTCAGACTGTTAGATAGGACACACAATTCCATCCAACCATGAATTATTGAAAAATTGGTACCTAATTCGTTTGCTGAATACCCGACGACCTTTGCAAACAACATTTGGGTGAACCTGGAACGATGACTGAATGATATTTGAAGATAAACAGAGTTCTGCCGAACGTACCGTACACTCTGTTAGTACAAGCATCGAACTTGTTGTTGAGCAGTTCGACTGCGGTAAGCAATCATAATCGGTTGGATCGGATTGCCAACAATATCTTAAACAATAACAATAAGTAACAACGACAACAACAATAATGATGGACCGCTTGAATCGTTGCCAACAATAAGACCTCGAAAGAAATTAGAACATGACATTATTTCATGGAAGAAAAAAGGATCCCAAGCGAGGAACCATATGATTCCTGATTTTCCAGTTTAAGAAAAAGGTCGATACTCAAAATGGGTCAGGACAAACACAACAAAATTCAAGATATCCAAAAAAGTGGATAACTACTGACCGGCAGAGCGCCTCTCGTTTAATGCTTATCTGGTTTGACCCACACTCCTTCACTGACGTACAGTTCACTTCTACGGATTCATCTAATTCACAGTCGTTGGGAAATGCACAGGCGAGACATGACGCATCAAGTTCGCAGTCGATACGGGAACAACTAAAAATATTTTACACAATGGTGACCTTATGATAACACAAGTAACAAGCGGAAGAAAAAAAGTAGCCAAATCATAAAGAAAGAGTAAGACAGAACCAAAACATTACCCATATTACCTATAGGCATCCTTCTTGGGATTAGAAAATATTTTGTAAAAATCGCGAATATTAACCTTTTATTTACTGTCTACTGCAATTTTTTAAGAGCACGATATTATGTGGAATACAACCGTAAAGATGTTGACATAATTGCAAACCCCCGGATCGCACGTGTCTGCAGTGGGAAACGAACGCACTATTACCCTTTCCGGGAGCTAATGCGTTCACCACCACACCATGCGGGTCCTTCGTTTCGCCTGTCTCAGCTTCTATCTACCGGTGCCATCAGCAATCACCCATCAACGGGACTGATTTGTGGAGCACAAATCAGCATTGAGCCCAGTTAAGCTGAGGCTGTGGTTGAAATCATAATGTTAACTTTTTATTTGCTGCCTATTACAATTTCTCACGACAGTGTATTATGCGAAATACAAAACTGTTACTGGAAAGTAGTTATTTTGCAAAATGTAAATGGACCAACTCACTATGCTCTACCACTCACTCTTCCTCCGTTCATCATTAAACTAGCGCGACTGGAACAACCACTTCGAACACAAATGCATACGAATACAAAAACGGCCAGTAGGACCATACCTGAAAGGGAACAAAAGTCACAGTGAAATTATAATGGTAACCACAAGCAATGATAAAATGTTAAAAAAGACATCCAGTCGGAGATTTGAATGAAAAGAATTCCCAAGGAAGAGAACACGGATGCTGACGGCGGTGGGATTCCCACATAAACAACGCCAGAGACAGAATATAATCCATGTTTCATCCGTCATCCATCGAGACTGCGGACAGATATAGCTTGAACATTCACATACAGCTAAAATTTTCAGGAAAAAAAGGAAATCGGTGCATTATTCTTTATGGATAAGCTCGTTGTTGAAGTAGTGGCGAGATAGCACCACATTGTATGCGCGATTGCCAACGGTATCTTACACTAGAATAAGATATAATGTAATAGCTTTAAAACTACGGACAATCTAATTCGTTATATCGACAAGAAATGTTACTCGGTGGATGTTTGTGGTGACAAGGGACAAATTTATCGAACAAATATATCACACTGAGCACCCCCATGTTTTTCGATACGATTATAGCTGACTTGTTCCGTGATTACAGACACTTCGAATGCTTTGAATGTCTCATCTTCTACATGATAGCTATTGTTTTCCACTCTTCAGTCATTTGAAGGATTTTTACGGTCGCTCAAAGCCTAGCAGTGCTTCGATCCATTTATCTCCATAGCGGTTAGGTTTTGGGTTCCGTAATTGCACATATGAGTTTCCTGGCAGCGGTTTACAGCCTCATCGTGGCTGGGACGTGTTCCTGGGTGTCGGGCTGCGATGTGCGGCAGGGACATTCATTCCCCCGGCGGAGTCTCCCAAGCCGAGAACGAACGCGGCATTTCAATTAGAAAATCCGGCTAAGAGTAAACCAATACCAGGATCCACCGGCGTCCTTGTATCAAGATCGCATGGTGGAAAATCCCTCCTTGGTCCACAAAGGCGGCAACTGGTGGTGACGATCTGGGGCATACTTTAGCCTGGCTGACCTCCGAACTCCAGGAAGACACAGTGGCTAAACCAGCAAAGAAGTGGAAGGTATGCTGTGGGGCCCACACAACCAGTGAGGACGGTCCACCCAAGTATCCAAGTAAGTATATTTTTGAAAGCTCTTTGTGGACATTTGCTACCAGTCAGGAAACAGTTTTTTCTTCAGATACTTCACTGTTTGCTAGTTGGTAATCACTTTTGGGAACTGAGTTTTACAAATCAGTAGATCAGTTCTTGGAGGGCAGACAGACGAGGACTAGCACGTCAGCACAAAATCAGCGCTTTGTTTCCATTGGATGAAGGTCACGAGTGAATTAGAAAACTACTGCGTCTTCAGGGCTGCAGTAAATTGAATGGTGGTTCCGTTGTTTGATGGATAAACACTGATTTCTTTTGTTTTCCATGTCTCTGAGGTCGGCAGGTGCATATTTATCTAGGCAGTTTACAAATTGTTTTCGTGTGTATTTCTTTGAATAAAAGAAATGTATACTGTTACACGGTTACCAATAAGACCTCTTATTTCGCTGAGTTCACTTGTGATTGTTTTCTAAGTCTTCAACTCTTGTAAGTAAAATTCCGTACTGAGTAAAAATTATCTTTTTAGAGATTTTTTAAAACATGAAGAACATTGTATTGACGAGATCCTTGTCCAGTTCATCTGCTGTCGGTTTCTTGAGAGGTAAGGGCACTGCATTTACTTTCTGACGTAGATTATTCCGCCCTTTCTAGCGCGAAAAGCCATTTAAATACTTACAGCCACCATTCCAAATCAAAGGTTAACTGAGTCCAATGTCGATTTGTGCTCACCGGGTCAGTACCGCTGACGGGTGATTGCCGATGGCTGTGTTAGGTGTAAAAATAGTTGAGAGGAACGAGGAGCAAGGGCCTCTGTGGCGCACTGTGTAATGCGCGAGACACTGGAAAGGGAAATCTTGGTTCAATCTGATCCGGGGTCCAAGTTCTGCGAATATCTCAGCATGTTGTAGTTGTATTTCATGTCATACCGTGCCGTGAAAAATTATAAAAGGAAAGAGCTCTCCTTGTTAATCAATCCCTGAGTGATGCGCCATGAATTCGACTTCACTAAGTATCGTTGGAGGTGATCGAATGCATATCTGGCTGCCAGTGCTGCTGTCCTCCCAGACGAGTCTGGTACCATTTTGCCGACTCCGGTGAGGGAGGGCTTGGTGGGCCATGGGCGCGGGAATCAATTCCGCGTGTGTGTCGCAGTAGGCAGCAAATGAAGGGTTAACATTGGCATTCCAAATCATTTGTTAGAATTTAGGCAGCGAATAGAGAGGTTCATAAAACACAAGAGTGGTCACGCATATGGATAGGGTTAAAGCGTTCGGCGTACCTTAGAGATGAGCACTAAATGTGGAAATTCATTAATCATTGTAGTGGTGTTGGCTCTATATTAGGCCTTTACAATGGCTTGCACTGACCTATCTAGGTAAATTTAGTGTTTGCTTCTCCATTGACTACAAGTAATTTTTCGACGCCGAAGCAATAGAGGACTATTTTCTAACCGCTGTGGCAGCTGTACGTCTGTTTCACTAGTAAACCTGTGATTTTTGGGAAAAACATGGCATGGAGCGTATATTTGGTCTGGGCTGATATTGAGATTAGTGTTGCCGATGTGTCTTCAAAAGCTGAATGATTCTATTCTGTGAAGTACTCCATACAGTACCCTACGTTTAATTTAACCTGAACGCTAGCTGAAATGCTCATTCTATTAGTCCGGAAATTATTTTAGGCTGCAAACTATTCGTTGAGGACAATTTGACGGGCTGTGCTTATTTCGTTAGTCAGAATGGTATTGTTGTATTAGATGAAAACTTAAAGGTGAGAATGTAAGGTAGCCGAAGGTGCCAAAAATCTTTGTGATCCACTCAATAAACCGTATATCCCAGTTTCTATTCTATATTTCAGCTTAAAGAGGTTGTACCATGCAGTGACCAATTTGACTGTTTTGATCCTGTCAGTATAGACCTGTTACAAGACAGAAATGAAGTTTGTATCATATTGCGGAATGCACAAGTGGTTACCATGGATGTGGAGTCACAAGCGGTTTGTTATAACTCATAAAATACTTTTGTGAAAAGCTCTTTGGTGGGATCAGGGAGTTTCGTAATGTTTTTAAAGAAATTACTTATTCGTTTGTGAAGGGAAATACGCCACAATTCCCCGGGAATCCTCACTCAAGAGCAGATTTTCTACCTCTTCTTCTTCCTTCTTTTCTCCGTCTCCCTCTCACTTCTTTCATTCTTTCATTTTTTTTTGTTCTAGATTTCACTGCTAAGTAGGGGATAAGGGATGAAACGTTCGGCGTCGGTCACTCTCACAAGAATGCATCATGCATCCAGTTTTACCAAGTACTATGGAGATGATCAATCTCCGCACCCCTGGTTCACCAAGCCTTCCATCCTTCTGGGGTCGGCAAATTACAACCAAACTTATCTGGGAGGGTAATAGCACTGGCTCGATACATCGGTAGGCGACCGTGAGTCATTGTAAAGCTTATATATGCATTCAGTCACCTCCAACGATGCTTAATGTCGAATGCATGGCGCATCCCTCAGGGATTGATTAACGCCAAGAGCTTTATCCTTTTATCCCTTATAGAGATGATTGAATGCATATCTGGTCTGTATAATGACTTGAGGGGCCTACCGATGCATCGACTCAGTGCTTTTATTCTCTTAGACGGGTCGGAGCCAAGTCGCCAACTTCAGAGAAATGGAGGGGTTCACAGTCGAACTAGTGTGTACTGCAGTGTTCTTCTAACCAAATCGCTGTACGCGTCTCCTTGTTCAATTGTTCTTCAAATACTTAGCACTGCTTTGTATATCCAACTGGTGCTTTGGAGAGTATGCTAGTTCCAGGCATGACTTCCGTCTTTTTTCGTCGCCGCTCTTGAAATGCTGGGAAGTTAAGTATAGTGACTTTAAAAATTCATGTTGTATGCTTGTTTTCTCATTTGTTATTGTCGCAGATGTGTTGTACATTCGTCTATGTTTAGATCTGCGCTGGGTGTTTCTTGGGTGAGATTTGTTCAGCGGCTGCTTGGAGTCCAGATGCGACTGTTCTTGCTGTGACTGAGGAGGACAGAGTGGTTTTTTATGACAGGAGTTTTGAAATTCTTGGATATTGGTGTGTTCTAAGAAGTTCTTTTCCAAAGTATTCGCCATTAATAAAATTTAAGGGAGGTGTCAAACTCTGATGCCGGTAAGGATGCACTTGTTGCGGTGGGATGGGGAACCGCAGAGACGCAATTTCAAGGTAGTGCTGGGAAGGTATGAGTTTTGCTACCTTGAAATAACTTTCTGTTTTAGC